TCTGTTATTATAGGGTAATTAAATCTAGTGATATTTTTTATTTTCATGACAACCGATTGATAAACTACCGGTCGGTAATGCGTTAGTCGGTAAAAAGTCGATCAATAGGCTACCGGTCGGTAAAGTGTTAGTCGGTAAAAAGTCGATCAATAGGCTACCGGTCGGTAAAGTGTTAATAATTGTAGTTACCTCCCCCCTCCTTCATTTCCGGTATATATGTGTTATACCTATATTGCCCAGAAGCAGTCATTTCGACTGCTTGGGAAATTTTAAATAATCAAATGACTCTTATTATTGAATTGAGTTTTCTTATATGACCAGTTCGGCTCTGTATTGAAATAACAGTTTTCATTTTTTTTCGATTACCGACACATGATAACACACAAGTACATGATAAATTGTCGATTTTGGCGTATACTTGATAAGTTGCAGTTTCTCAATAAGCTAAAGTAGTACTTGTCAGTCGAATCTTTATGCAGTGATACTTGTTCTAACAAGTTGTTTATTTTATTTCTTTTGCGTCCTAAATTCATAATATTAAAAATTAATTTTAAACAAATTTCTTTACACATTAATGATTCTTTCACAATGCAGTCATTTTGACTGCTTTTGGGCAATATAGGTATATACTAAGTTTCAGTCTTTCTAGTGTTAAGAAAAAAGAAGTATCACGGTAGAAAAAGAAGTATCATAGGTTGCTCGAAAGAAGCCATTCATAAGTTTGCAAAATAGGAAGAAGAGGCACGAGTTTGCTAAGAAGTATATAAAGGAACAGTTTACTTTTTGGAAAAATGTAATTCTCTTTAATGATCAATGATTTTCATTAATAAATCTTTAAATAAATGGCATTGGAAATTTAATATTCATGAATAATGTAATAGACAAATGGATCTATGTAAATATGTTAAAAAATAATTTAAAGCAAGGTGCCAAATAAATGGGACTTAAATAAGTTTAAATTTTATGCAGACAGCAACTCGCAATACAATTTTTACAGGGTTCAAAGTTGGCTATCGAGTAACTGCCCCAAAAGTTCTTGAAATCCCTTCCCAATTAGCCGACGTTAATGTAACAGAATATCTGTGACTACATAATAAGATTACATAATATTACAAATAAAGAAACTCTCAGAAAAATTTAGTTAAATGCATGCCTCAACGACTACAATACGTACTAAAAATGCACATGGATACCCTACAAAATATTAACATAAGCTGTACATATTAAACGAAAATAAGTACTGTACGATTTTTACTGATAGGCTGGTTTCATATATAGTGACAATTTATATTTGTTATATTAAGAATTACCAAAAGTTTCATTCTACTTTTATAATATATTAAACAAAGAAGTATTGAACTATATACCTGTATCCGTAATTTAGTCATTTACTGTAAATTTTATGATTTATAAATGAAAATCAATTGAATCGCTAGGTGTATGATTTTAAGAGACAGTCATTGTATATAGACAGTCATCAATGCTTTTTAATCAGTACAGTAGGACTGGTTTCCGAAGAGTCTAAGGCATTTTATATTAATAAAACGGTTCTCCATGGTTTGAAAAATGTTTAAAATTCAGAAACAGCTAATAGCTGTTTAAAAAACTTATAAAATTATAACATATATGGAAAATTCTGGTTTGATTATAATAATTACATATACATACAATATTCAATAATTTAGTGCAATAAAAATACGTAATGCCTGTTATGAACATAGAATAACATAATAGATGAAATAGTTATAATTGTATGTAATTACATGTAAAAAAATCCCAAAAATTGAATAAAAAATTTGTACGACTGCATAAATCATGTTTTAGTAAATTTTGCAAAAAATTTCAATATTATTTGTTTCTTTTTATAAGGGACTAGTTTTATTTATAATAAAATTACATAGTTTCATAAGAATTTTCGCAAAAAAAAAAATCAAACTGAATACATGGAGTTTCCAGTTTATCGTTTATGTATAATTTCCTTTCAATTACATATGTTGCACAATTCCACTTTCTAGGCACGTGTGATTGCTAAAATCGTAATACAACTTTCCCAAAATTAGGTTGAAATATTATAATTAAAAAACGGGTCAAGGCAGTTAATTATTTTAATTTATAATTACGAGGCACATTGTATGATAAATTATTTTTAGTCGTAAAAATGGTAACTAAATTAACGAACGTTGCTTTCTCACCGCAACGTATGGATCGTACAATTAAAAATAACTAAAAATTATTCTCAGAGAAAATGAAATTCAAGAGAAGACTAGTATCGAACATGAAAATATCAAATATGGACGTATTAAAAAAGAAAATTGTAATTATTTAGAGGTTTGCACTTCTCACCGATCTTGATGACCTTGAAATATGCTGTCAAGGTCACTTTTCTGAACAACTTTTCCCTATACATGTTACCGTCGCTCGGCCTTAATGGGAAAAATTTTAATGGGGGATTCTAGTGGCCAAAATAAGACGAAAATCAAGAATACCAATTTGTTGATGGAGGCTTCGTTATAAAGTTATTAACAATTAAATTCAACAATTTCAAATCGTTCTGGAAAAATTATTATCGGTTGCGGGGGTCAATTACAATCATTTTTGGTGAATACACATATCTTCGAAATCCTATCCACTTTCGAGAAAAAAAATCGAGTAGGTGCTGAAATTTTTCGGCGAAAAAAAATTTGTCAAATCGTTCTGGAAAAATTATTTTCGGTTGCGGGGGTCAATTAGAATCATTTTTGGTGAATAGACATACCCCCGAAATCCTACCCACTTTCTAAAAAAAAATTCGAAAACGTGAAATTTTTCGACGGAAAAAAAAACTTTCAAATCGTTCTACAAAAATTATTTTCGGTTGCGGGGGTCAATTACAATCATTTTTGGTGAATAGACGTACCCCCGAAATTCTGCACATTTTCGAGAAAAAAATTCAGTACTGGCGGAACTTTAAACGTTAATAACTTTTTAACAAAGTTATTATCCTCCATCAACAAATTGGTATTTTTGATTTTTGTCTTATTTTGGCCTCTAGAATCCCCCATTAAAATTTTTCCCAGCGGTGATGAAAAATGGGTATCGATATTAGTTGCCAGGGGCGGGTCTGGGGGTCGTAACCCCCCCAGCCAGCAAAACGAATTTAATATGTTACTGTTCAAGTCGTGGAGGATGTTTTATTTATTGCTCCGCGGGGCTCATGGAACGAAATTCCATATTCTTGTTTTTTGTTGCAGAAAAAAAATGTTCGAAACTGGATTTTAACCGATAAAATTATTTTTGCGAATATTTGGAAAACGAAGGCCAAGCGACGGTGACATGTATAGGGAAAAGTTGTTCAGAATGGTGACCTTGACACCATATTTCAAGGTCATCAAAATCGGTGAGGTCGTCAATCATCTGCATAATTACTACAGTGAAAACTCGATAAATGTCCTCAAGAGCTGTTCCATAAATGATACATTTTTATCCCCACCACTAGGGGGATCCCCCTTGAACCAGTGAGGCGAAGTGTAACCGGAGACGTAGCGGCTTTCTTTAAAAATCTTTATTGCCTTCGTCATCTTAGTTTAAATGTCCCTGTCAGTGTGACCACACTACTGTACAAGAAGAAAGTTTTTTATTTTTTACTTTTTTTTAATAAAAATTTTACTATCATGCGGGGAAGATTTTTCTAATTAAAATGTGACTAAACACGATATAAATCGGCCAATATTTGTTACCATAATATTGAATTAAATATTGTGTACTCGTATCTTCGCAAGGTCAATGGATTGGTACATTTATCGAACAGTGGTAGCTAACGAAACCCCCTATTTCATAAGTGTTGCAGTTTTTGATCACTTACGAAACGGTGGAACCGTTCCGTTTGAAAATAGCTACCTCCCGTTCGATAAATGTAGCCAGCACCTCGATGCGTCGTTCTTTGATATTTCCGAACATAGAAAAGGACAGCAAAAGAAGGATAAATAAAGAGAGAAAGACTCGCAAGTACAATATTTAATTCAATATTATGCTACCAAATATTGACCGATTTATATCGTGTTTAGCCTCATTTTAATCAGAGAAATCTCCCCAACATGATAGTGAAATTTTTATTAACAAAAAGTAAAAAATAAAAAACTTTCTTCTGTGCAGTAGTGTGGTCACACTGACGCGGATATTTAAACTGGGGCGATAAATCCGCGTTTCAGTCCCTCTTTCTTCTTTAGCTACTGACTCTTTCTACGTTCGAAGCGTCGGCAAACTACAATCAAATTCGAAAGACGATTCTCCTATTCCGTAAGTGTTGCTGACCGGACCCGGAGTAGCGACATTTATCGAGTTTTCACTGTAATTCGTTTTGCTGACTCGGGGGGCGCTGTCCTCCAGACCCCCCTAACAACTACACTAACTAATACCGATACCCATTTTTAATATAATAGCGGTGGTAACATGTATAGAGAAAAGTTGTTTGATGACCTTGACAACATATTTAAAGGTCACGAAAATCGATGAGGAAGGCAAACTCCTAAATAATTACCAAGAAAATGATTCATTAGCGTTGGATCCATTAATTTCTATATTACTGATCTATCGGTCGGTTGCACGAAGTCTAAGCGATATTATATAATATTTAGTATGCCTTAGTCTTCAGTTCACGTTGTTGTTATGTATAACGACTTAACTTTAAAGAAAACATTTACTTTCTACATTTTCGTATTATATGCTTTAATTTTATTCTGCCCTAAATTTGTTTAAATTGTATATACCTTATTAGCACGTCTACAATGGCAATTTAATATTTTGTAATACATGAAAATATTTTTACATGGTAGATTAATTAAAATTTTTTAGTTTTAATTCTTCTTATTTAAATGGTAATGACAATTAGAATTAGAATATATTTTCTACTTACACTTTGTAATTTCTCGTGTTCAGTTTTATAGTGATTTTGATGTCGCACATTTATTTATATTTTTACTATTATTGTATTTTTACATCTGAATCGATAGAGGCTAAAAAATTGGCAGCTTGCTTCAATGTAATAGATGGTGTAAAGTATTGTGTATATTGAACAGAACAAGGAAATTGGAGGCTGATTTTTTAAAATCTTCGTCTAATTGTAAATATAAGTTCATTTTCCAACTGTGGTTACATTTCATACAAAACTTTACACGTTCGTGGACTTATTAGTATCTCATAATTTTTTTCATACACTCTCATCGCCAGTCTCTTTGTGAACATAAAAATAGATTTATACATCTTATTGAATTATAGAATATACATATCGTTCGTGTGTATATGCAAAAGATATTTACTATATCACTTCTTCTTTAGTCACTCTGCTACATTGCAAAATACATTTTGTGTCTGTAATAATCGTGTATATGATTCAAACACGATCGTGATATAATCATGTACCATACAGAGATGACTTGTTGGCTAGGCACGCCGATTGGCCGTCGTGTAATAGCCTGCTCTCACACGCATTGTCATTGGCCGAGTCGCTCACCCTATTGGTCGAGACCCTACTACTATGCAGTGTTACGTCAGAGGGGGCCTCTGTAGTGGGAATAAGGCGGCGCGTAGACCTTCTCTCCTTGCCCTTGCCTCGTTTAGTTTGCTGGTGCCTAGCCAACAAGTCATCACTGGATAACACAATGATTACATTTTGATTGATTTACATGAAAAGGCAGAATGTTCTTCTGTGTGATAAATTATTTCGTAAGTATGGTCGATACTTTGCAGTGATAAAATATATATATATATATATATATATGTATTCACAAAATTTTCTTCAAATCCGTATGTCACATTGTGTTTCTGTACAGATATGCACAATATATGTGCAATAATCTTCGTTACGATCGTATAAATAACTAGCATCGATACTGTTACTCGTGATTAGTTTTACCTTAAGTTTTAAGCGATAGAAGTTAATGTTTAATACAATTCCACGTGCGAAGGGCAATTTATAAATGCACGATATATGTAGTACAGAAAATATGTATACTGTAAACGAACGAAGACTTTCGGAAACATACGTGTACGATTCAAAATTAAAATTCGCTCTAGACAATTTAAAATGTTAAAACGGAACGTTTGGTCCATAATTGTAAAAATTAGTATGCGTGACTCGTTCATATGCGATGAAAGATTTATAATACAATATACAGGGTGTTCGACCAACCCTGGGAAAAATTTTAATGGGAGATTCTAGAGGCCGAAATAAGACGAAAATCAAGAATATCAATTTGTTGATTGAGGCTTCTTTAAGAAGTTATTAACGTTTAAAATTCCGCCTGTAGATAGGCAACCTGCGCACAGCTGCGTGCGCTAGCGTCTCACAGGCGTAACTTTAAACGTTAATAACTTTTTAACAAATCCTCAATCAACAAATTGCTATTCTTGATTTTCGTCTTATTTTGGCCTCTAGAATCTTCCATTAAAATTTTTCCCAGGGGTGGCCAAACACCCTGTATACAGGGTGTTTCACTAACTCTGTCATAAGGTGATATTTTTGTTACCGTTAATGATACACAAGAATTCTTGAGGAGCAAGTTTTTTGATTCGAAAGGGCACAATCATTTTTTTTGTAAAAGAATACGTATAACGTCGCTCAAATTGTAATTTATTAAAATAAACATTCTACAAGTTCATATTTTGCAAGACAAGTTCATCGATATTTTTTTAACGCGACTGTATATTCTTATTATTATATCATATAATAGCTGAGGTTAATGCAAATTAAATTGCGTATAATGGAATGACTTTCACATTAAGTTACGATAAATTAAAAAGATTTCTGTTTCATTCAACGGTAACGGAGATGTATTATAACAAATTAGCTGAGACACCCTGTATTTCGTTATGCATGAAAATCTACATGTAACTTACGCTTCGCTCTGTATAAGTTACTATCTACCATTTTATTTACAGTATAATTAATTTAATTATTCGTTAAAATTCATTAATGAAAATATAGAATGGAGTATATGTACAATAATGCGATACCTATTAAACTGAATACTTAGGACCACATTTTTTTATTGGCGTTAATCTGAGGCCTTTAGCCAACATTTGAGCTTCAAGGTCGCGATCTTCATCTTGATACCTAAAAGAAAAGTGTTTCCATTAACTGCCAAATATCATGATCATAATGTAATTCTTACTGAAACGACGTAACATCTTTATTTCGTGCAGTTAAAAGGACACAGATATGAATTAATACAAAAGCAACAAAATTTAAATAGTTTTGTTACATAACAAAAATATTTATTAGTGTAAATGTTTCTTTTTGATATTTAATTATCACAGGTGAAATTAAGCATGATTATACTAATATACAATATACTTCCATTCATTATCAAATATTGGTATCTATTTTAGGATCTTTCTCAAAATATACCTTAATGATTCTTGGTTTCGTATCATATTTTGTGACAGTGATACGTGTTTACCAAATAATTATCCTAAACACATAAAATAATATATTTTATTCTCTTTAGAGTATCCATTGAAGGATAATTAAAAATTTAACAATAATTACATTACTATAATTCTCGTGTTGCTATAGTTGTACATGCTTTGTACAGGGTTAAAAATAGATTTAAGTACAACTAAAATATTTTCATTCTTACATTGGCACTACGATACAGTCATGTATATAAGTACATCACTTTGTCACAATGCAACAAAAAATACTTGTAAAAGAAAAACAAAAAAGAAAATAGCGTATGAAAAAATAACATGCGTAATTGTATTACGATAAAGATTTAAATTGTACATCAAAGGATTTTTAAAGTTCGTACTTTAAAAATAAAAAAGTTTAGTCACAGTTACAAATGAGTGAAACTGTTTAGGAACATTTCGTTAGTTTTAATAACATGAATGCTATTTAAAGAAATAACGTATAGCACTCTAACGAAGAATAACATCTACGATTGAATCATATAATATGTTACTGTAATTATATTCGAAATGAATTATAAAAATTCTTTGCACTTTATGAAATGGAAATGTAGAAATCCGAGTATATTTGTGAAACGTGAAAGACATAAAAATGCACTTACGATTTGAAAAATGTCAAATGTTCTTTATGAACGTTAACAAAGAATTCTATCAAGTTAGTAAAAAACGAATATGCAAGTAAAATCACTATCAAGGTAAGCACAGAAGATATTTTGTTGAAATTATGAGAAGAGAGATTAGGGTCGTGCGAGGAACAGGCAATTGTGTGTGTAGAAAAAGGTATTAATGTTTGGCTTGTAGATTTACACCACCTTTGTCGCTCTTTTTCTAAAAGGGCAATGAGCGAATCTCGCTTCGCGACGATCTCCAACATTTCTGTTAAAATTTCTCCTTCCTTTTTCACATCGGCACTTGTCTTCTTGTTATCTGTAAAATTAAAATATATCTTTCGTTTTGATTCAAATATATTCGCGATAGTAGGAATATAGTATTAAAATATTAACCATCGTCAGCTAAACGTTCTCGCAATTCTTGTTGTAATCTTTCATGGCGATCTTCAAGCTGGACCTCTTGAGCTCGTACCAAAAGTTCTTTTTCGTATCTACGCAATTCCGTTCGTTCTTTCATGAGATCAAACCATTCCCTAAGTAAATCTGCTTCCTCTCGATCGGAACATTCTAAATAACAGACACACTTTGTTTAACTGTCCGCAATGAAATCTTTGACAATGATAGCGTTCGATGTTACCTCCTTCTCCACGAAGAGCTTTCTCAACGCTGACACCTCTACTTTCTAATTCTTTCTGTTTAACTTCCGTTTCTTCCAGTTTTCTTTGTATTTCTTGAGCCATGCGTAACCTAACAAAATTCATACTTGTAATTGTATAACAATTCTATTATTATTAAATGTCTGAAATGTAAAATGGGGTTTGTACCTTTTTAATTGCGCTTGTCTAGCTATCCGTTTTGTAGTTTTTGATTTACGGGAAATACTATTGCACGATCCTTCTGTGACTGTTGCCTTCTGCATACACGATGTTGACACTGCTGCCGTCTTTGTATCATCTTCTGATAAACTATCGTCTACCAAACGAAATTAAGTATTGAAAATAAGGTTCTTTTTATTGTCTATAATATTAAATCTATATTGTTTATACCTGATGCTTGTGTAGTAGAAATAGTATAGTTCAGTGGGGGTGGTGGAATTGGTGGTGGATTTTCGCTTAAGAAGTTTCTCGCGAGCATACCCTCGCAAACACTCTTAGGTCTTGTAGTAATCTTTGGCGTTGCGACTTTATCGAGCTGAAAAAGAAATTTCCTGTAGCACTAATTTTCTGTTATACCTTCGATAAATATGAAAGAAATATAGCTTGCTGTTGAAATTAACATTTTCTTAATACTGGAAAATTAAAATTGTGAAAAACAAAGGCTTTTAACACCTTGCACTACGCTGAAATTTTAAAGAAGCCGTGCCTAACCCATACGCCCGAATGATCGGGGAATAACCCAATTCGGGAATCCCGAATGTCGAAACTTAAAACACGATATATCGATCGACCAAATATCGATATCTACGAGTTCGACTCGTGATATGTTTGGCCCGAAATGTCGATTACGAGTCAGACTCGTGTTATTCACGTTTGAAATGAAATTAAACAACGAGCCTGACTCGCGATATTCAAGTTTAGCCTAAAATTTCCATCACGAGTCAGTCTCGTGAAAATAGTGCAAGAGGTTAAAGAAGTGTAAGCTCAATCTTGTAAAGTTAATGCAATTACGAAACACTTGTACACACACACAGTTGCAAATACTATATAATTACGATAAGTAAAATCCTAAATATATAAATTTCTGATTGACAGAGTAACGGGTTGAATTTGTGCATTGCAAGAACATTAAATGAAATATCAACTGTCCAATAAGTAAATAACCGTGATAAACTCGTCCATTTATCTTTGATTAGTATTTTCCAAATATTTCCATTATATCGTCAAAAACAATTTGATCAAAACACAGTAAATATAGGAAAGAACAAACAGTAATTTATATATGCAAAGTCACATGCTCATTTTCAAGAAATACTGTTACTGCAGGGATTGAACCAACCCTGTAAATCAAATTTAACATAGCTTATGCTGATTAATATGTTACCCCTTGAAAGCAGACGAGAAAATGCAGCAAACAAAAATAAAATCATAGTACCTGCACGATATAAAATAGCGAATACAAATAGTGGTATAAGAAAGCTAATACTGGAAAAACTAATATCTATGACTTATGAGTTGCTTACATCTGACCCTTCCGAATACGATTTATATAACTGAAACATTTTAGAATCCGATTAGTCGAAAGAAAATCGAGAATCAGGAACATATTCAACTTTGTACAAAAGAAGAAATATAAAAGGGTAATAAGTGAGACGGAATGTGTACGTACTTTGCCTTTTGATTTAGATGTCAGACGGAACATAGACAACTTGTCTTTTTGATTGGTTGGCGAAGAAGAGGGTTCTTTCTTGAAAAAGAAGTCCGACACTGCTTGAATAATGCTCTTTCTTCTTTCCGGATCCTTAGGTTTTTGTTTTTTGTCTCGTTTCAGAACAATAGCAGGGTTATTTGATTTTGGAGAACCAATAGGGTGCATTAGTTCATCCATCGATTTAGCATTCGCAGTAGTTAAACCTCCAAAATTGATTGCTTCTGCCACAGCCTTCATATTATCCGTACTCTTGCTCGTCTGCAGTTTCAATCCAGTTTTGTTTGCCCCGGTGCTGTAAAATCTTGTTCTGGGTTCTGGTTGCGTCTCCTTTTTACTTCTCCTTTCTTCCATCGAAAGCTGTCTTCGCGCCACTTTCATTCTCAGTTCCTTGATCTTGTCCTCAGGACTGAGACCCAAATCTTCATCGCTCATCAGTCTGGCTCTTTCTCTAGCATCTTGCCTTGCCTTCTCCGCTGTCCTCTTCGCCTCCTCGTGCTTCAATCTGGGCGGAGCAATCGGCGTTTTAAACATATTTCCAATCTCGTTATCCGTTTTAATCGACGCGATATTCTCAGGAGATTTCATTTCATTTTTATTCTTTTTATCATTTATATCTTTTTCAGTCTCCAACTTCCAAGGGAACTGTTGAAACTCTTGAGACGCTTCCATTTCCTGTAACTTCTTTGTCTCAGCGAAAGTGGTTCGCAGAGGACTGTTTGTCGGTGTTATGGACGTGGGTACAAATTTATTAACAGGCGAAACATTGGGAACAGGTGGTCTTATTGGCGACAAAGCGGGCGTGGAATTAAAGGAGGAGGCTCTAGCAGCTCTTCTTGCTTTCTTCTCCGCGGATTTCTGTTTGTGAGCTTCCAGTTTGTCCATCAGCAAATCTTGTATCACATTCTTTTGCTTCGATCTCTCTCTCGTAATTTCTTCCAGCTTCCTAGAGGTGACCGGAGAATTAAAACTATTGTTTACTGCTGTTTCCTGGCACTTGATCTCCTCTGCTATCATTTCAGCGGTACGGGATTGCAGAGAACTCTTCGAGTTCTTTCTTTTTGATTTCCTGATATCTATAGAGTCTTTGGCGTTGCTGAATTCAGCGATTCTGGATTGTAAACGCTTCACGTATTCCAAGTAATCCAGATTGCTAAAATCTACCGCTATTTTTGTCGGCTCCTCCTGGCTTGGTCCTTGAGTTACAGCTGGAACTATCGAAACTTGTGGATTGACAGGACTAGCTAGAATCGTAATTACTTCGCTGGTAGTGGTATCTTCGGCTGGCTCGACGATCAATAAACTATCCTCCTCCATTGATTGGAATAGTTCCTTGTTTACTGCTTCCGTGACTAGCTCGTCCTGCTGCCCGCTATTCAAATTCATATCTCTGTTTACTTCTGTCTCTGCTGTCTTTGCACTACCGTTCAACCTGTTCTTTACATCGTCCATCGTGATTGGATTTATTTCTATCACATTCCTATCATTGTACGCCTCCTCTTCCGAGCACGAGTCATTCTCTAGATCTAATTTCGCTATCGGCGCATCAGCAAATAATTTCTCCCGCGAACTACCGACAGGCGTCGACGTGCTTTTAATATTTACAAATTCGACGTAGCCCCTGTTCTTGAGCATCACCATGTTAGAAGCGTCTTGCAAACTATCGTCCAACAGCGAGTCGTTGTCCGTGTCCATAAAATCTATGTTCTCGCCGTTAGCCAGAAGCTTCGAAGTATCGTTAGATGGAACGTCTATCTTTCTATCAAATTTGAAAGAATCCAAGTCCTGGTCCGTCAGGTCTTCCTCTTTGGCTATCGTGATCGGGGGATATTCCAATTTGGTGGAATCGGACAACGTGGTCTTTCTTCTCGTGGTTATGAATTCCGGGTTGATGTTGAACTCGACGTCCCGTAAATCGTCCGAGACCAAGACCTCGCCGTCGCGAGCCCATTCCGAGAATTCGGTTTCGGTGAGCGCCGCTGTGGTTAAATCGTTCTCTTCGGAATCGTCGTGTTTATTGGATATGGCAGAGGCCACCGACGTGGGACTGCTGCAATTGCTCTGCTTTCCGTCGTCCTGCAATTCCAGCCGCTCGATCTCATTCTTCACCATTTCCAGCTCCGCCGACGTATTGTTCTCGCATGGAATCGAATCCTGAGTGAATTTTACCTTGTTTTGTAACAGCGAACATTCTATAGAGTCGGGTTCGAACGATTGGCCGTCGTCGAAGTCTCTGCATTTGTCAGCCTCCTCGTCCAACAGCAGATGCCCCTCTGTGCTGTGAATTTGCAATCGCGGCGGGGACAGATTCGCAGCAACCAGTTGCTGGTCTTGCGCACCTTCCTCCGCTTCACCGTCGCTGGAGGACAAAGAATCGCTGTCTATCTCCGAGTCCCCGCTGCTAGCTTCTTTCGTCGTCTCCTTGTTCTTGCCCCAATCCACTTGCGGCACGATTATGGAGATCTCGTGCAACGGGCTCCGTGGTCGAAAACCGTTGGTCTCGTCCGCATTTTGCGAGTTCTTCGCGTTCTCCAACGTGTCCGTATCGTTCACTTGACTAGGTGTTACTTGTTCCTTCGCCGGTTCTTTGTCCGCCGCGTTCTTAGACTCGCTACAGACGATGTTGGGGGCAGTCTTTGACTTCAGGATACTGGACTCTTTCACCAAGTCTGGCAAATGGGTCTTCGATATTTCAAGTATGATGCTACCTTTGTACGTGGGATTGTCATTGTTCACTGAATTCTGGGACGAACGTTCGTTGGCAGTGTACGGCCGTATCGGAGTCGAGGAGAACGGAGCTGTAGGCGATATCGGTGAGAATTGAGTATTGTTGGATCGCAGATTGTTGATGTTAGTCCCTTTCAAGAACGCTTGCATCGTTGGACTTGGCTCTGGAGCTGGGTTCAACAGCTTCTGATGCTGAGAGATCGCGTCCGTTAGGTTTCGTAGCTGAGTGTCCACGTTCGACGCCGATCCAGACTTCATAACTGAACCACCGAAAGCCGTGCCACCCAGTAAATACTTCTTTTTAAGCTCCAACGACAATTTCGAGGCGATACCTTCCGTGGAGTGAGTTCGGTTCAATAAATAATCGCCCTTGCGTGGATTCATCAATGGTACTCGGTTCACATGATTGGACCCTACCAAATTTGAGCTACCTTCCTTTTCTGTTTGAGGAAGATTCACGGTTTTTTTAAATTGCGGCTTTGCGCCTGTGTCTTTCTCTTGCTTCAGATTGCCATTGAACGATGAGATGACCTTGCTCTTCACTTGAACTTTCTTGGGCTCCGCGTAATTCCCTCGCGTCTTACGGACGAACGAATCGTTGATCGTGATTTCCGGTATCTCGTGTTGAGTAGGGGTTGCACCGTCATGCTCGAATTCAGAGTCAGTTGATATCTCTGTGGCCGAGTTCTCCTCGCTTTCTTCCGACGTACCATCGTTGGAGGCAACCTGAGGAAATGCAAGTCTATTAATACAGCGAACGAAAGCTTTGGAAATGTTAAGTGTTATAGGAAAACAGAAATTCAATTTTAGTGTATTAGTGAGAGGACGATTAAAATGCTGAGGAACACAATGCACAATTTCTTACTCTTTTTCAATACTTTGAGAGCTTAACAAAGCGTATGCATAAAAATCCATTATTACGATGAGTTTTAAATGTGACCGTATTGAAATAATGTGTAATGCTCCTGATTTATTAACGTCTTATAATCTCCCACTTTCAAGTGTGAAATTAATTACGATTGCTTAAAAATGACAGTGAGATTTTTAATAAAGTATTGGCTGGTGGTAATCTCGGAATTAATGTAAAAAAGTTGGTAAGTTACATTGCCAGTTTTAGCCAAACACTAAACCAAGCACAAACAATTAATCGGTTTGAGTCACTATTAATTAAAAATTAGTACAGTGCATCACTCCATTCATATATAAAAATGCTTTACCTTTTCTTCAATGGCCTTGGGTACTTTAAAATGATACATCACCATCAGCCAACTATAAGTAATATCTATTTTTACTTTATTAACATATCTCACATAATTTCCCTGAATATAAGTCGTGAAACTGAAAAATACATTTTCGCAGAGATGTAACAATCGTGTTCGTAGAATTCTTCGCCATACATAACATATTCGTAACAATTACAAATTAATTTACACATATCGTATCAATTAAAAATTACTTTATACACGTTAGGATACCACGCATCTATCTTTTTTCGATCGATCGTTCTTAGGAGACGTGAATTTTGAAGATTCAAGCTGAACAAATTTGATCGATGATTGAGATTTTTGCTCAGCAGAAGTATTTCCTAATGTATTCGAAATTTTACCACTGTTATCGTTAACTTTTTCAAGTGAACCTTTTAAGTCGCCAGCCTCTTCGTTTGCAATATTTTTGTGTTTATCTGGTGTTGTTAATCTTTCGTTGGTTGTCATCGAGCTCGATTGCATATCAGAAGTGGGTTGTTTCAAAGAAGATGCGAAGGTAGATTTTGTTTTCGCTGATCTTTTCCTTGCTGGAACTTCAGGCGCAGACTGTACATTAAAAGTACTAGGTTTCGTTGAAGAACTGGATCCACGATGAATATGTCTTCTTGAAGTTTTGTCCAACGTATCTGACAAATTAATGTTACTATTTATGTTTATTTTGTTCACCTGTTTTGGCGTTTCAATATTTTGTTCGACAATTTTAACTCTTGCGACTTCAGGCGAAAGGCTTGTTAACTCGTAAGAGGATTTTGAGTCTTTACGTAACTTATCAGCTATATTTGCAACCTGTTTTCTTATATTTAAATTGCCATCGCTTGCATGCATAGCATTATTTTTATTAATATTCGTTAATCTAACTCTGTCGAGATGCGGAGTCGAGGCTGTTTGTTCTGCATTAGTTTCAATGTTCTCACGAGACTGAACTGTAACATTTGCTCTCTCTTTGTGTAATTTAGTTTCCGAGATGGTATTATCAAGAGGAGAAACAAACGTTGTTTCTTTCTCAATATTTTTAACTTTTACATCTATTCTCTCTTCATTTTCTTTATTTTTCACGTCATCACTGTTTAAACTCACACTTTCTTCGTTCATAGAATCTTTATTGTCTGCTGTTTTAAGAGATAGTGTTCGTTCTTCTATTTTATTTACATTTTGTGATTGGTCCTGTTTATCTGAGTTTTCTAAATGCAATTCCATGGATGGAGTATTGAAATCCAACGTACCCTCTATATACTCAGTATCAATCAATGGTATTTCTCCACTTTCTCCAATTTCTTCGAACTGCAAATTAATAGTATCAATATCGCTGTCATTAATACTCATGTTTACATTGTATTCATCCTTACGCTTAATAGCTTCTAATCCTTCAGAAGGTTCAAGTTTCGTCTTCTGAAAATATTTCATTATATCCTTCGTTTCAATTTTCGTGGATAGCTTGGGTTTGATGTCTAGCTCAACGATCGTAACATCAGATGAATTTTTAGTTCTATCAATTGCACCTTGACTCTTCGTTTTTTGCTTCTTCTCTTCCACAAAATATTTATTCATCTTTTGTTGAGCATTCTCTTTGGACAATAGTCGAAGTTCACCGACCGGAATTTTATTCTTTGCCTTTCTTTGTCTTAAATCACGTTTCAATTTGTCAAACGAATTATTTCCATCGGATTGTACTTGTTTACGGCCTTCCTTAGGAACCGTTAATTTTGAAATTTCAATAGATCTCGCGCGTGATGGTTTCTCATTCGTTGGAGACGGAGAAGTGACGGTCACGACTGGAATTTGCTCGATATCTTTTAAGTACAACTTCAATTTGTCCGGTTTTACGTTCAACGTGTCGGTTTCTAATTCCTTGTGTCGTTTCATCTCATCTGATTCTAATTCTTCTACGATCATGTTATCTTGTGTGTCGGACGCGTATAATTCGTCGTACAATGTCTCGGTTGATTTACTAATTTCAGACGAGGAAGATGGCGATGACTTTCTACTGCGATTTGGGGAAGAAGTTATCAGATCAGGTAGTTGCTCCTTGCAGCTTGCAATTTCTTCGGTGTTAGGCAGCACTGTATTATCGTAACTAGTTTGACTAATTGGAATAGCATCTGGAAGCATAATTGCTGCAAACGCTGTTTGCAGTTCGGTATTACTCGCTTCTGTAGCTTTAACATCTAAATCGGACGTTACTTTATCGTTCAAATCATTGTTAAGAGGAATTGTTTTTAATTCGTTGTTATTGAATTCATTGGTATCGACGTCACCGAGTTTTGAAGTAGAATAACTATATTTATTCTCATTTAAGATTTTTTGAAGTTCACTTAAATTTGAAAGAACATTCTCCACTACTAGACTTTCGGACTCCGAATTATATTCTACCGTATTTTCATTTTTACTTGGTCTATTCTCTGCAACAGATTGGTCAGAAGTAACCAACGGTACTTTCGAATTAATAGTATTATTAACTGCGTTATCTGTAATTAAATCAAGGGGGGGATCAGGTGTTGGAATTATGCTTCCACATGCTAGGCTTTCGGACACGTTCCCTATTTGCTGATTCACATTTACCATTGATGTATCGCTCTGTAATATTTCTACACCCGATGAGTCCTGAATATCTTTAGTGCCAATAATCTCTTGATCGATTACGATTTCACTGGGAAGGTAATTAGGGGCTTGTACAGATACAGATTCAGATTCAGGAAGTACAAGTGACTCTTGAGTTATGTTATCTACAGTATCTTGAGAAATTTTCACCTCCGTTTCTGAACCAGTGTCCGTACCGGAACTGCGAGCAGGATGCTTCAGCCAAACTTCTTGCTTCCTGAGCTCTCTTGCGCGTATTTCTTCTTCGTCTTCCGTGGCAGTTGTACTCTCATCGTCTGAACAACGACAAAAAACGAAAAGGAATCATCACGTCAGTGTTTTGCAAAATTCGGTAAAACGATGAACAAATTTATTAACAATATTACCTTCGTTGGTGTATTCGTCGCTGGAATCTTCGTACTCGTTGCTTCCTGTATCAGACTGTCCCAGCGTAGCATGAGGGTAAGAATACCGTAACGTCCAATTTTTAGCAAGCTCGAGAGTTCCTTCGGTTGTCAGTGGCTGATCGATTGCTTCCTCGTATACTTCGTTATCGTCATTCGAATCACTTTTACGGCAATAGAAAAATAAATGAATTTGTTATTCTTGTTTATATTTAAAAAAAAAAAAAGAAGAGCTACGGAACAAGAAAAAGTGTTTATTCGGTTATCGAAGTTGCTATCACTTGGAGTATGGTATTGTTAAATACGATTCACTATAACGTACAATATCTTAAAATATGGATAGTAATATTAACCAGAATTATAAGTATCAATTAATGCGATTGATTGAATACACTGTGTGTCATAACTATAAAACCACTCTAAACTTTTCAATTTTTATGTGGTACTGTTAAAATAATGAAAAAACAAAGCGTACCGTATTTGAAATTGCGTTAAGAAATGATACTCTGCCAAAGAAGGATAAATTGTATCCACTGAGAAAAGAAGAATTACACAGAAGGCTGATTTGTTCTTGTACCATAGCTATAAAACTGGAATGACGATTCTTATTAAACAAATTATACAAATATTGCACTGAGAATACAATTGAATTAAGTTATAACTAGTCTGCGGATCTTTATGCAAATTCATATTTTCATTAATAGAATTAATGAAATGAGAGCTTCGTAGAGGGTTATCTCAACCCCTAAATATAATAATTCATATCGTACTTTAAATATTTCTTATATTTTTGGATATTAAGTGGATTCTGTAGTTTTTTGGGAATTAAAATTTCCCTTAAATGCATAAACATCCGCAGTCCAGTTATAACAATAATTTAGTAACGTGTAGGACCTCCACTATTTTCAAGAATTTAAATTAGTTGATTTTTCATGTTTCTTATTTCAGTAAAGTGTTTTACTGGAATTGCTCACTGCGTTAAGAATTAAACGTTAAGATCGGGGTGAAAGCTTCTTCTTCTTTGGTCACAACATTGTGAGAACGAATAAGTCTACGTGCAATTTCACATATTTTCACATTACTTTTGTAAAAATCTAAAATTTTGCCTTTTTCTTCCTCACTTAAATAACTTTCACGTGGCATTATTAACCAAATTAATATTATCACACTTCCAACACACTAGACAAAACAAACCTGATGAAATATTGACAGAAAAGAACATTCGAATGCTTAGTTTTATAATTATAAAACAGTAACGAATCAATTTTCTGTAGTTTATTTTTTTAGAATAAATATAATTTAACTGTTTCTAAGGAAATATACAGTGACTGTCACTTAAAATCGTACACCTAGAGGTTCAGCCGATATTTTTCCAATAAAACATAAAAATTGTTCTAAATTATTGAAACTCGTATAGAGGTATATCTCAAGAACTAATAATTTTTTTGCCATGATACCTTAATAATTTTTTATGTAGAATGGACAGGGGAATGAATCTGTGCAATAAAAAATACGCATTTCTATTTATAGAAAGGATGCAATTCTTAATTGCACATGCACCGTTGAATTTGAAACAATCCAAGGTCCTACAGATGTAGTGCTCTTCGAGCCATTTACCTTTCTCCTTTGGTATTTTTTCGTAAATGCATTAATAACGGAGTTATTTAAAATTGAAAATTGAAAATTTTAGGGTTGTTTTATAGTTATGGCACGCAGTGTATGTATATTAATTATTTGTTTGAAAGAAAAATAAAACATGCATATTGATTTACATATTACAGTTAAAGGAAAAAAATGATTGCTAATAAATTCTGAAAATGATCATACTTCAAGCGATGGAAACGTCAACAGCTAATTAAGCAATTTCTTTTGTTTCGTGTATCTTTGAACTACAGTGAGCGTCAATATAAAGTTAACACTTGAAATTTTCAACTTCTCTTTGAAATAACTTAAAAGGTATGAAAGAAAACAGGAAAAAGGTGTATGAGATATTGAAAGCTCAATTGTCTATAAAAAACATATATTTTTTTTAATAATAATTTAATAATAAGCAAACATATAATGCAAAGAACAAAAAAAGTCCCTTTTCCTTGAATCAATATAAAGTTAACACCCCTGCTTTTATGCACATAGTTATAACTATTGCAACAATTTTTGGTTATGTTGGTATCACTGTTTAGTCACATGATCTTGCGGAATCCCCGTGTTTTGTTTCCATGACAAAACAACAGAGGGAGATACTATTTGTGTAATCTCGAAATGGGTAAACAAACAACTGTTGAAGAGCGTCAAATAATAATCGAAATGCATATAAATAGACAGCCCTTAAGAGAAATTGCTAAAGTTGTGCAAAGAAGCCATGTGGCTGTAAAAAAGATCATTGACAAATATAATAATCTCGGATTATTAAGTAATATTGATCATAAACGGCGACCAAAAAAACTCAATGAGAGTGATGTGAGGCAAATTTGCAGAAAAGTAACACAAAATCCTTTTTCGAGCACTGTAAAAATAGCAGAAGAGTAATTTAAAGAAAGAAACGGTTAGTGCAAGTACAATCTGTAGAAGACTGAATAGAGCTGGGTTATTTGGAAGAGTTCCGAGGAAGAAGCCAATGATTTCTGAGGTGAATCGGAAGAAACGGTTACAGTATGCTAAAGATCACTTCAAATATAATGAATCTTTGTGGAACGATGTTCTCTTCACTGATGAGAGCAAATTCAAAATCTATCAAGACAGAAAACCACTGAAAATATGGAGAAGTAAAAATAGTGCTTTGACGGAGCAGAACTTAGTCCATACAGTCAAACATGGAAGGGGATCCGTGATGGTCTGGGGGTGTATGGCTGCTTCCGGGGTTGGAAATCTCGTGTTCATTGAAGATATAATGAAAAAGGAGGATTACGTTGAAATATTGTGGAGAAACTTAGAGCCTTCCGTTACGAAATTGAATTTATCAAGAACATGGACATTTCAAAGTGATGAAAGTAAAGATCTGAAGCATACATCACGCATGGCAAAGGAACGGTTTCTTTACAGGACACCAAAACAATTAAAACATCCTCCGGAATCCCCAGACCTTAATCCCAAAGAAAATGTATGGGATTATCTGGATCGAAAAATACGAAAAAGAGAAGTAACGTCGAAAGAAACTCTCAAGAAAGTCATTTTAGAAGAATGGAATCAAATTCCAGCAAATTATACATCTTCATTGGTCAAATCTATGAGAAGATTGACCAAAGTTGTAAAAAATAGCGGACGTTCAACAGAATATTAATTTCACAAAAAAAAAAGGAAAAATTGTTATTGATACCTATAGATGTTAACTTTATATTGACGCTCACTGTAGGATTTCTGGCGTTTTTATCTCGTTACAACTGCATTAGTATACTATACTATACTATAATAATTTGTAGATTATTTGTTTACCCAAGAAGGCCGAAAACACTATATTTAATGAACATCAAACGTGGAAATATTAAAAAAAAATTTCGACAATTCCTTCCTGAGTTTCCATTTTCACAAATGCTTTCAGAAATCGGATGGAGAGCGAAAACAACACCCGCGGATCATCCAGTCTCTCAATACGAGTTCGACGTGTTGATCGGCGCCGATGGTAAACGAAACACCTTGGAAGGATTCAAGCGCAAAGAGTTCCGGGGGAAGTTGGCCATCGCCATAACAGCGAATTTCATAAATAAACGCACCGAGGCCGAGGCGCGGGTGGAGGAGATCAGCGGTGTCGCGTTTATCTTCAATCAAAAGTTCTTCAAGGAATTGTACCACGAGACGGGCATCGACCTCGAAAACATCGTCTATTACAAAGACGACACACACTACTTCGTGATGACTGCCAAGAAGCACAGCCTGATCGACAAGGGGGTTATTCTACAGGTATCGACACTATCTGTGTAGAGCGTTGCTCGTGGCGCTGTGAAACAGTCACGGATAGTGATTCGACGATGATAATGACTTTGACGTTTAGGACCACGCAGACACTGCCAAGCTGCTCGCCAAAGAGAATGTGGATCGCGAGGCATTGATGCTTTACGCTCGAGAAGCGGCCGAATTCTCCACGGAATACCAGATGATGGATATGGAATTCGCAGTGAATCATTACGGGCAACCGGACGTGGCTATGTTCGATTTCACGTCTATGTACGCGGCGGAGAATGCCAGTCGGGTTTTGGAGCGTCGCGGTCATAGATTGCTTATGATCCTTGTCGGCGACAGCCTACTCGAGGTACATCAAAACGAGGCTCCCTCTACGAACCCTCAATTTCATTATGAATTTCAGTACCCTAAAGAAAATAGTCTAGATAAGAATATTGACGCTCACTGTAGGATTTCTGGCGTTTGTATCTCGTTTCTGTGTACCTATTATTATATTTTGCAACTATATTTATAGATTATTCGTTTACCAAAAAAGGCCAAAAACACTATATTTAATGAACATCAAACGTGGAAATATTAAAAAAAAATGTTGGTAATTTCTACCTGAGTTTATTTCAAAAATTGTTATTGATACCTATAGATGTTAACTTTATATTGACTCAAGGAAAAGGGACTTTTTTTATTCTTTGCATTATATGTTTGATTATTGTTAAATTATTACTAAAAGATATACGTTTTTTATAGAAGACGAATTGAGCTTTCAATACGATACACCTTCTTCCTGTTTTCTTTCATATCTTTTAAATTATTTCAAATAGAAGTTGAAAATTTCAAGTATTAGCTTTATATTGACGCTCACTATAGACTGTTGCGTATAACGAAATAGCTATAAATAAATTACCTCATATCCGAAATATCGTCGCTGGAACCCATTTCTGCAGTGGAAGCACCAAAATTTCTATCAGTCCATTCATCCTCGTCCATTTGACTTTGGGGTTCTTCTGCATCCGATATGCCCGCCAAATTTTCAAATTCTATTCTCTCAGGCGTTTGACCACGATCGAGCAAATCAAGCCCAACAACGCCCTCCAAAGGTATCTTCGTCTGAAAGTAATAATTCTAATTTATACTGGTAATTAAAAAAATGTAATTCGAGCACACAATTGGAGAGCAAACGTTACCTTTTCCGTTATTTTTAAGTTTACAGCCGTATTGGGTATATTCTCCTTATTCAACGTAAGTTTCTTCTTCTCCGAGCGAGCTTTTATCGTTCCCGGGAAACCAAAGTGTTGCGTGCAATAAAATCGTCCCCCGTTTTTGTCCCGATCGAATGTATGGTTTCCTGCGATTGAAAAATTATCGTATAAAAATCGATCGTTCGGAAACACTTCGAAATGGAAAAACGAAGAACGAACCTATTCTTAACGAGGTAGAGCAATATTCACAGCGGAAACAGCCTCGATGGAAAAATTTCCCTTCAGCGCTAAGTCTCTCCATCAAATAAACTCTCTTGTTGCAGAAATGACACACCTCCGCACCTCCTTGAGTAGGTAACGTTATCGTTGGTTTAATATTCTGAAAGAAAAATTTAAAAGATTCAAACATCATCTATTGATTTTAAACAATTCAGTAAAAAAGAATTTTAGTCAGCACATCCATTCATTTTAAGCGAAATATCTTTAGTAATGTATTAATTGTTACACGTTGTACAATCGAAGGGGATTACTACATATTGTATATTACTAGCATAGTAACAGGATCGTTGATACATTAGTAAATGGTTTGGCATTAGAAATGTTACTCGTTAGGAACGTTATATTAAACATTCGTTAAATATTTTCTTGTATCTTGTGAAAATATGACAAATAATATTTACAGGCAGACAGGAACATTACACGAATTCACTACTTCCGCGTTAAAGACCGTACGAAATATAACAAACGTTACAAAGACTTCGAACATCTTTTGCTGACTACATCCTTGAGAATTGAGTTTCTGTAATATCGTATTTACCGATTTTTGCACCTTGGGTTCCGTGTCTTGACTTTTATTCGAAAATTGCTCAGCCATAGCTGAGACTTTATTGTACCCGAGCACATTACCCTCTTTGATCTTCCTGTCTATACTCTTCAGGGTATTGTCAATATCAGCATACTTACTATCTATATCCTTCTGATCCCGCCCCTTCTTCTCCATCTTGATTTGTCGAGCTAAAAACTGAATGAAGCATATACGCATCTGAAAAAACGTTGATTACCGACTACCGTTGATCTTTTTCTATGCCAACCTGTTCTCGACTCCATTTCGGCACGCGTTCTATTTTATCGTGTCGGACGGAACGACCCATCTTATTCTCCTCGATTTTCTTTTCGATCTCCTTTACGTTCCAATCAGTCTTCTCGATCTTGCCTGTTGCGATGGCAAAATTATACTCTCGAAGAAAATTATTCAAGTGAGAAGAAAGTAACGTAACACAAACCAATGGCACGCAGAAGATCCCTGGGTTTCTTTTCGGACGGTGTGGATCCCTTCAGTTTGTCCTCGATATTTTTTATTCTCCCAGAAAATTCTTCGTCTATACTATTCCTACGATGGCCAGCATGTATCTTAGGTTCTCTATCCTAGAAGTAATAAACAGTGTGAAACGAGTTGGACGGATACAAGTCCACGATAAAGACAACCACAGAATTGTAAAACTTTTAAAAAGAAGCGAGAATGCACCATAATATTTGTAATCGCAGTAGACGTATAGAAGGAAACCAGGACTCTTATTAATATACATTTGTTATGATTAGCTAATTAGCGTGTCGCGTTTACTTATTTCACAGTGTATAGTGTTAGTGTCATAGCGTTTTAGAAAATATATAAAAATATTCTGTTGATATTATAAATACCATTATTTTGTGAGTACAGTTAGTAGCACAACTGGAAGTCTTCGCATTGTTTAATATTATTAATGCATATCGCATGCATAAAATTCGTAGTTTTGTACTCTTTTTTTTTTTTTTATTTTTTGTATGGTTAGTTAGCATGTTCGTCTTTAATTTGTAACGAAAAATAATAGAACAATTTTATTGCCCGCTGTAATAAAATAAATTAGTATGCAAACGAGCAGCCCACAACTAAATCATTTACATACAAAATTTATTGTATTATATTATATATATATATGTTATAACATTATCCATTGTATCGTTGGATGAATAACTGTATTTTTAAAATATATGTAACCGTTTGTTAAGTGATTACTTAAAAGAGAAAAAAAAAAGACATTACACACTCCCAAATCATTCACTTTCCAGCTTACTGGGTATAATATTTTCTGTTCTAGATATTTCACTCTATCCTTGAAATCCGCTGCTGTTTGGCGATACAAGAATATCGAATAATCTTCGAACGGCTCGTCTTTCTCGCGTTTCGCATTCGCCTGCAGCATCTGCATACTTTTGTAGAATTGCTGCGTCGCCATCTTTCGCAAATACTGCCGCCTTCTCATACGTTCTGCACGATTCTGTTCTATTTCGCTGAGTTTCTTCTGTCTTTCCTCCTTTACGTGCACCGCAAAACGTACAACAGCGTGACATTAATTTCTCGATTATATTCGACAATCACCAACGTCTGTTTCCATTTTCCAGCTTAAGTCTCATTTTTTTGCCAAATTAATTTACACAAATGTGTACACGTTCATGTTACACGTTTCAACTACAGTAGTGCCCACATAAGTGACCGGATTTTTGCCCACACAAATGAGCAGAGTTATCCCCGCCAATTCTTAGAAGCCAAGCGGCTTCGAACATCAAACGTGTCGGGTGTAACTTGACGCCGGTCGTTATCGGTACATTGTATACAGGGTGTTCGGCCACCACTAGGAAAAACATCAATGGGAGATTCTAGAAGCGAAAATAAGACGAAAAACAAGAATATCAATTTCTTGACTGAGGCTTCGTTAAAAAGTTATTAAAAAATTTCAAATCATTTTGAAAAAATTATTTTTGGTTGAGGGGGTCGATTACAATCATTTTTAGTGAATACACACACCCCTGAAATCCTACCAACTTTCGAGAAAAAAATTCAAGTAGATACTGAAATTTTATTTGAAATTAAAAAATTTCAAATCGTACTAAAAAAATTGTATTTAATTACAGGGGTCAATGACAAGCATTTTTGGTGAATAGACATACCCCGAAATCCTACGCACTTTCGAGAAAAAAATTCTTTGCCGAAAATCTGTTGAGCCGTTCATAATCTCGCGGCCAAATGGCGCCACCTATGATAAGGTTGGAGATTATGCGGGGATTCCCGTGGCTTTTGTTCGAGTTGCATGGTCGGCATCGCATACTGTAATTTATTTAACTATGTAATATGTGAAGAATAATTGAAGTGGTTGTGTTTAACATTTAAATATTGTCTATATATAGTTATTTAATCAGTTCCTATGCAAGGGGACCTGATATTTTTCAACAAAATCTAATGTGAGACCAAAAATGCTTCCCCGAAATTTCATGCGAATCTTTAAAATGTCATAACTCCGGAACGGATTGGATGATTTTAATTTTTCAAAATGCAAACATCTCGTATTTTAGTGGAGAATATGTAGAAATTCTAACAATATTGAAAAAGTTGTTCCTTGACACTGTAAAGTGAGAAAACCCCCCTAAACTGGTCCAATTTTCAAACAGCCATAACTCCTACAATAGTAAAGATATCTCATTGAAATTTTTTTCTGTAGCAGAGCCCATGGGTACCTACAAAAAAGTATTAAACAACTTTTCTACAGGACCTCAAATAAAATGACTAAAAATCAAAAACGAATTTCTAAGAAAAATTGACAGGGGGAAGAACAGAACGCTGAAATTGTGGCGTTATCAAGAAAAATGGAGCAACTAGAAGTACTCATTAAAGGTAACGTTTGCAATAGACCCAGGAGCCGTAGCCGAGGGCAATTTTTTAGAAGACGTAGCAGCTCGCGTGAAAGAAGCGTAGATCGTTACCAGCAGTCAAGAAGATTGGTTTACTGCTTTTGTCATAGAACATTTGAGGAACGATCATACAAATTCAAAACAGGAAAACTAGGCAGGTCGTGGCAAGTAGAGACGGTTGCTAACGACAACCAAACAAAAAACCGTCTCATCATTACAGATAAGGAATTTAGAATATCTTTCCTAATAGACACAGGTGCAGACATTTTGGTTATCCCCAGTAACCGTAAAGGTAGACGACACCCTGCACCAGCAGATTTCAAACTCTACGCTGAAAATGGTACAGCTATTAATACTTATGGAAACAAAACAATAACCTTGTCTCTGGGCCCTCACAGACAGTTCCTTGGAAGTTTGTGGTAGCAGATGTGGATAAGGCTATCATTGATGCTGTCTTTCTACGATACTATAACTTATTGGTAGATTTAAACAAACGTGGCCTAATAGATTCGACAACAACTTTGTATCGCAATGGCATGTTAACAAAATCACAGACGCCTACGATATCCACTATTTTAAAGGAGTTTCCAGTAGTTACGCTTCCACAGAATCTTGGATTTAAAAAGTTAGAAGCCTACCACTATATTACCACCATCTACCACTTGATAAACTTCAAGTGGCGAGAAAAAAATCTCAGCGCATGCTAAATGAGGTCATAATTCAACCCTCCAAAAGCCAAGAAGTCAGGTGAGTGGAGAATTTGTGGCGATTACCGTAGGTTAAACAGTATAACGGTACCTGACAAATATTCCCTGCACCACATTCAAGACCTGGAAAAAAAAGAAAACTAACGCGTTTTGTAAAACAGTTGCAACGTAATGGCTACGAGAGAAAGGTTCTAGAAATATATTTTGTGAGAAACCTGAAGCGTTATTTCGCTATTATACCGAACCGACATCCGCCACACACGCGGCCAAAGTGGCGACACCTATAAGGTTGAAGATCGTGCGGGGATTCCCGTGATATTTTTCAACAGAAATCCTACCAACTTTTTAGATAAAAATTCAGCACGTGCAGAACTTTAAACGTTAATAACTTTTTAACGAAGCCTCCAACAACAAATTGATATTCTTGATTTTCGTCTTATTTTGGCCTCTAGAATCTCCCATTAAAATTTTTCTCAGGGATGGCCGAACACTATGTATATGGTTTTGGGTGCCAGCTATTGTATCTCACTCGCACTCATCCTCTTTCCTCATCTCCGTTGAATTTTGAGAACTAACCATGCCCACATAAATGACCGTGGCCGGTCCTGAGCTTGGTCATTTATGTGGACACTACTGTATCTGCTACACTCGTACGATCACAATAAGTGACAAGATAGTATTATGAAAACAAGGTAAACGATGATCGAGCTACGCTAATTTGCTTCACTTTAAAACGAGGACGTTATATGTTGTTTCTAGTTTTTAAAATCTACATTTTTCTTCTTTTGGCAAGACACTCGTTAAAATGGGGAATAACTCTATTCGTGGTGTGTTTAGAACAATGTAGCTTATTAGACACGAGAGCAACAGAACGGGAGAATAGGTTAAGTAATGGTTCTCTTCAGAACGGTTCACGAATAATATAAAATACGTGATCCGGTAAAAGTGTCTATTATTTATTTCTTGATGAAGCGAAATTAAAACACGACACATATTAATTTGCATATTTTGGAATGGATATGAAGAAGAAAGATGATCGTCAAAAGTGAAATTAAAATTGTAAGTTCTGAATTTTAAGCGATTTATCAGTTCCATCGATTCATGTTTCAGATATATCATCACTCGTCATTTTGCATTTTACATCTTACAGATTGATCGTTAGACTTATCTTTCTTTTTTTCTTTTCTTCTATGGTCTTCCATATTCTTATACGACTAATAGAACTCTTTTTCAAATTTAAGACTACAATTTTAGTGATCATCTTTTGCTACTATCGTTAGACTTATCTTTCTTTCTTTTCTTCTACGGTCTTCCATATTCTTATACGACTAATAGAACTCTTTTTAAAATTTAAGACTACAATTTTAGTGATCATCTTTTACTACTATCGTTAGACTTATCTTTCTTTCTTTTCTTCTACGGTCTTCCATATTCTTATATGATGAATAGAACTCTTTTTAAAATTTAGGACTACAATTTTAGTGATCATCTTTTGCTACTATCGTTATCATAATATGCAGATTAGCATGTGTCTTGTATACATCTTGTACATTTTCACTGTATCGTGTATTGTATATTACTGTGCGTCATTCTAAAAAGGACTGCACTCCAAATGTCAACGAGTATTTAAGAACATTCTCTCTTTCTGTTGCTCCTCCGACCAATATACTACCTACACTATTTTGAACATCGTCCGATACAGATTAGAGAAAAAAAAGTAAAACACAACCTTTATGTTATCTATCGTAATTTGTTCATTTAAAATGCTTTTAGTAAATAGGACAAATACAAAAGCTGGCGTAGCAAATATATTATGACATAAACATAAATATATATGTATATACGTATGTATATAGAAAAAATTTAAAACATAACCGATAGTGTTCGCAATGTTCCACTGACACTTTCGTTGACTATGCGAAGTGATTAGAATGCAATGACTTCCTTCTGCGTCATGGCAATGGCAACTCCAATAATTACGATTAAGAACGATACGATTATCCCACGATACATAAGTGCTTCAATCTTCTGCCACCGTGACTATAGGATACAAGCATTGTAAGTATCGCGCGTGTGTATGGAACGTTAGTGTTTAAATTTCCAACCCTTTATGGAATATCTTTAAGAAGCGCAAATACAACTACGGGAACTTACATTGTACTATCATTAAATAATTTATTCCATAAAGCGTTAAATACGTGATTCAACCCTTTGCATTCACGGTTGTTCTCCTGTGTCTAAGGACTCAATCAATTTTATATCACGACACGCAAAGAGTTGATGTAAGATTTAAGGAAAACAGAATGTTTCGACCTTGGGCTTTCTGCTGACTAAAAGCATTCGAAAACATACGTATGGTTAAAAAATTTGTAGACGAAAAAGGCTCTAATCTATCTTGTGATGTTATTGTATATCATACTGTTCTCTACTTTGAAACAAGTTTCAATTAAAAGATCAAAAAATATGTATGAAACCTACCACTGTCGCGCCCATCTTCTCCGTGCTGCGTCTCTTTCGAGAACGTCGACTAATCGTGTCCCCCTTCTTATCCGCGGGGTATAAATTTTCGTTATGTCGCGATCGTGAGTGTCTCGTTCTCGTTGAGCTCTCTTGCCTGACGATACGGTCGAGCAAATGAACTTTTTGGTCAGCCGTTAATTGGCTCAATTGTTTACTGTGCGCAGGCCTTTCTTCGTTTTCGGGTTCCTTCATGAAACACGATCAATGCGTTGGTACACAAGAATAGAAACTACACACACGAATAATTAATTTAAAGGGAATATTATTCGTTCGTTAATTTTACTATTTTCCATACAACATTTCTGGTACTCTCTATCGAAATTTTTTGACGATCTGAACGTTCTCCTCGACGTCTAAATATACTTTTCCAAAATTTATCTTTTATCCAGCTTAGCGTGAATCTGTTATCTTCAACGATAGTTTCGCTTAACGATATCCTGTTATTATTATAGTCTAATGGCTTAATGGTCTCTTGAGAAAACGTTCGAGGAATGGGCTGAGAGAATGATTCTGATCTCCGGTCATGAACGATGTATGATGGAGTTTGGTTCCAATGGGACGAAGGATCGGGCGTTCTTGGACGAGGATGTGTCTTGATTAACAAAGAATGCTCTGCCGACAGTAAATGTTCTATCCGTGATTTTGGACATGATACTGAATACTATAAAACATGGAATACAAATTAAACATTTTTGGATCGCCCGACTACTAACGTACAAGTTTACTTACTAATTTCGGATGTCTAATGTATGGAATTTCACCGCGGAAAACATCGTATATTTGCGTCAAATACGAAAACATTGCAAGTTTGTCAGGAATCTCGCATTCGGCCATCTCTTCTCCCGTCATTATCTACAAAATTCAATATTTAAATGTCGCAAACCCTTATTGCCTCTTCGTTGGAACTATTTATATTCTAGTATCGAGTGCAATTAAATTCACTTGCCGGAGGTATGCCCAACTCTTTCTCCAATATGTCGAAGGCCAGTTGATTGTTCTTCGCAACATCCTCCGGTTGCATACTGTGAAAATCTATCAGATCTGGACGATATTTGTGAATGATCGCACAAATAGCCAGACCATTTTTGAAGGAGGCGCCCATATCTTCAATTTGAACCGAATCGTATAGAGCAACCTGCCTTTGCAGCCAGCGAAGCAACGTATCTGGATGGACTTGAGATTCGCCACGGAGATCTGTATGATATACGATCACTTGTGGTCATAATATTTCTCCTTTGTATTTAATTAACACTTTGAGCCCGGTGATTGTATCACTAAGCATTTAAATATTACATTACTAAGTACTCTATGACTTTCTAACGATTTTATATTTTTGTGAACATGGAAAATTCAGGTTTTCCAATTTAAAAATTGACGAGGATATCTTTTCCTGAACAATAGCTTGTTTCAAATTATTAAAACTCATTTAACTCTGAGGACAAGTTTTATATAGTTATAATTAGTTCGGCTTGCAATATCAGCACCTTCAATAAACAAAATATCATAAAATACAAATAAAATTATACCCAGACCTAACCTAACCTAACCTAACCCAAAAATACGAATGAAAAACAAAATTTTTAAACGTGAATAAGTGTATAATATATTGGTAAAATAACAAAATAATTTGGTCAGTAATAATGGAACCTCTACATGTCTGGAAATAAGAAAAAACTATTTAGAATAAGTCAGAATAATAATCTTAATACGTATATCCCTTCTCATAAATTTAACGTGGTTAAATTTATTTACGATCATTTATTTACAAGAAAATGGAATCAAAAAATGCAAATTCATTGCATTTAAAGAATAATATTTTATTTTAGCAATACGTACCATTTTTGTGCATATTAATATTTTAACTTTAAAAAGGGTTGAAATTATTGCAGAGTATGTTCTATAAAATAATAAAATTTGTTTTAAGAGTAAAATGAGTTTTAATAATATAGTTTGCTGAACATTTGGAAGTTTATTGCTACGAGGCTGTGGGTTTGAATGGTGCCGGACTCACAGCGTTAAATGTACAATAAAGAATGTGTCGTACAAAAAGGCAATTGGTTATAAAAGACTCGAAACTTACCGCGTCTGCGACGTTTTTTAGGGATATCGACGTCAGATTGCACAGGAGGCTGTTTGATGCTGTCGGGATCATCTGTATCGAGGAGACTTCGTACTTGCATTGGAGTTACAGAGGATACATTCAGATTTGGGTATCTTAAAGAGAATTGATTAACTGTAGATAGCGAGAAAACAAATTACCGGAAACGGTGAATGACATTAAACATTAAAAGTATTCTATTTAATATCGAAGTACGAATTTGCTTTGATATGGAAAAAAAAAAAAATGTAACTAACTGGAATTTCAAAATTTTAAAACAGTTTTTGTTAAGTTTTGTACGCATACACGTCTCGTTAGCGATGTACTTCTTTTTTTATTTTAATTGAAAGCGACGAGTTTACACAACTAAAACGTATACGCATACAATCTAATCGTATACATTTTATAATGCCATATGAGGTGTCGAAACTAGAACAAGTTGTACAATGCAGTGACATTAAATATTACCCAAGTAATGCGTTATACCTGGTGTGAGGATCCAGCGTGTACGCGGCGTAATCTCTGTTCAAATTTTCCGGCGTGGTTTGTCCAAGTAATCTGTATATCGATTCTCGCTCTGCGATTACTTCTAACGGCGATATCGAGGCGCCCCATTGCTTGATCGCCCAGCAAGCGTCTAAAGAGCTCAAAAATCCTCTCGCGCAACCGGAACCCGTCGGCCAAAACGGCTGAAATAATTTTCTATTTCACTTTTTCTGACACCGCCACGACCTCTTGCAATTACGGGGTTTGGGGACTTCTTACGGCTGAACGAATCATAAACAAAAGACATTTTCCTGTCCTTTTCTAGGTTATGGAATGTACTTTGCAGTTGATACTGTTTAAGGTTTCCGAGTGTAAGTTTGGAATTTTTTGGAACAGACCTTCGTGATCGACTCGATTAAATATACGTTAACCTCTTGCACTATTTTCACGAGTCTGACTCGTGCTGAAAATTTTAGGTTATACTTGAATATCACGACTTAGGCTCGTTGTTTGATTTTATGTCAAACGTGAATAACACGAGTCGAACTCGTAAATATCGATATATCATGTTTCAAGTTCCGACATTCGGGATTCCCGATTCGGGCAGTTCGGACATTCGTGAGAATTTTGGACATGCGCACTAGAATTTTCCCTCGTGGGATTTCTTTTTGCGCATGCGTTAGCTTTCTGCCATACATGTATCTGTAGCGCGTTGGGAATTCCAATGTTTTGTACAAAATTGAACTTTCTACTTCAAATGCTCGCCAATCGCACAAAAATTAACTTATCGAAGATCCCCTACGTATTTCTCTAGCTATACTCATGTAGATTAAAAGGAAATTTTTTGTTTTTGTCTCTTTCTCTGAAACTTTCTTAAATTTTGTTCCTTACTGGGATTCAACGGTACCCTGAATTCTAGTTAAGTGTATATGGCAGTGATCATGCGCTCCAGTGCGCATGACCAAAATTCCCACGAATGTCCACCACTGGATTCGGGTTCTTCCCCGATCATTCGGGCGTATGGGTTAGGCACGACTTCAACGTAGTATGAGTTAATCAAATATCTAAAACTTTCTGATAATACTGAGTGGTACTATTGCTTCATATTACTAATAAATAATATCGTTAATGTTATTGCGGTATTACAGACACTAGGATTATAAATGCCGAGTGTCGCTAATATTACACGGTTTACAAATTGTGTAACATTTCTCTTAATACACAGTGATACTAATATTATCAACAAACTGTGGCCACGGTCTAGAATAACACTTACAGTCAGCCAAAATAATAGATTTTAGAGGGGAAACCACTGTGACGGACTGAAAAAATCGAATTTTTTTTAGCTCTTTTTAATGTTTAGGATTTTTAGAGTGATCCCCTAAAATATTAAAATAAAATGACAAAGTTGCAGAATATTTAGTAGAAGTAAACAATGTAATAACGCTTTAAATTAACTACTCTTTTCTTTATGACATTCATTTGAAACTCTTTTATTATTTCTGCTGTGGTTAAGTTTTTGTATGAACGGAAAATGTTTGGATCGAGATAACTATATGGACCAAGAGTACTTAATCTTGAGCGATAAGTGATATGAATAAAGAGTGTTTGTATCAAGCAAATGAAACTTTAAATACGTTTTTCTCAAAACCAACTTTTTCAAACTGGCCAACTCAGTCAATTTTCATCCGATTAACTCAAAATTTTGTATGGTGATTCCTAATACTATAATAATTCCTACATGGTGTTAAAAGAAATATTTACTTTTTTGCAGGTTTTTAAGATCTTTTCTTCAAAGCTTCACCCCTTTATGATAAATTATTATTTTTATAAATCCCCACGTGCAACTGAAACTACTGTCTTATAGTTTAAGAAAATTGCATAATTTCTTGTTTTAGAATTTCCAGTGAAAAATTACACGTCCGCCCATTGCCAACAAATTTTTGGAGGCCTCTCCTATTATGTCTATAATAATTCATATTTTTATAAGAAGTTATTCAAGAAATGTATTTTCGAAACATTAAACATTTATTAGAAAAAGTTTCGAAGTTACCTCCAAAAATTCTTGAAAATTACTTTTATTTTCAGCCATCACAGTGGTTTTCCCCCTTAAACTATTATGTTTCCTTTGTTTCCCTGGTATTTATGAAATTTAAAAATGATAATTCTATTTATTGTTTCTTAATGATCTGATACTCTAGGATTTGTTTACTCGTCGACTCTTACATTGAAAGCCCGGTTCCATTTAAAAAAAACCGCTCATTCAGGATGTAGCTTTTTTTTGTAAGAATTGGTAATTGTTTGCAAGTATCACTGAACCTTTAAGGGAATATTCAGGTTTAAAAGTTTGAAAAATTCTAAAAATTAACAGCATCATAGCTGTTTTAATAGCACAGCTTATAGCTGCAACGTGTGATCGCAAAACTTTAAACGCATTCATCTTAAAAGCTCGTTTTTTTGAACTGGCGTTCAGAATATCTCAAGTTTTAGTCAAACAAATAGCTTAAAATTCATGCAAAATTTTCAGCCGACTTCCTGCTACCGCAAGGATTTTTAAAAATATTGAACTTTTAATAACATTTTAGAGAAAATCAATATTTAAACCTCAATGTGCCAACAACTTTTGAATTATTCAGATTTGTTATTTATTGCGGTTCACACGCTAGCTATATTCATACTAATCAAGATGCTATTTCGTTTTTTTGTTGCTGTACACACAAAATAGCAATGGATATGTGTTCTAAAAATCACATAAAATGGTCTTATGGTTTTTTTGCAAAAAATTCCCAAAAAAAGCTTAAAAATTGGCCTAGTAAACCAAAATACTCCCTCGTTACGATCAATCATCAAAACTTGGGAAAAATGTTCAAAAAGACACGACGTACGCCTGGAAGTCTTCAACAGTATCAATTAAAAAAAAAATCCAAATTGTAAAAGCCTCGAAGATATCAACTGAAAGTTTAACAAGTTCCGATTTTACAATAGATTCGGCGATTAAATTCAGCAATAACACTGTAATTTCTCTTAACTTTTTTTACAGGAAACCTATCATTCTTATCTAGTCTATTTTCATTAGCGTACTGAAGTTCATAATAAAAGTGAGGGTTCGCAGAGGGAGCCTCGTTTTGATGTACCTCGAGTAGGCTGTCGCCGACAAGGATCATAAGCAATCTATGACCGCGACGCTCCAAAACCCGACTGGCATTCTCCGCCGCGTACATAGACGTGAAATCGAACATAGCCACGTCCGGTTGCCCGTAATGATTCACTGCGAATTCCATATCCATCATCTGGTATTCCGTGGAGAATTCGGCCGCTTCTCGAGCGTAAAGCATCAATGCCTCGCGATCCACATTCTCTTTGGCGAGCAGCTTGGCAGTGTCTGCGTGGTCCTAAACGTCAAAGTCATTATCATCGTCGAATCACTATCCGTGACTGTTTCACAGCGCCACGAGCAACGCTCTACACAGATAGTGTCGGTACCTGTAGAATAACCCCCTTGTCGATCAGGCTGTGCTTCTTGGCAGTCATCACGAAGTAGTGTGTGTCGTCTTTGTAATAGACGATGTTTTCGAGGTCGATGCCCGTCTCGTGGTACAATTCCTTGAAGAACTTTTGATTGAAGATAAACGCGACACCGCTGATCTCCTCCACCCGCGCCTCGGCCTCGGTGCGTTTATTTATGAAATTCGCTGTTATGGCGATGGCCAACTTCCCCCGGAACTCTTTGCGCTTGAATCCTTCCAAGGTGTTTCGTTTACCATCGGCGCCGATCAACACGTCGAACTCGTATTGAGAGACTGGATGATCCGCGGGTGTTGTTTTCGCTCTCCATCCGATTTCTGAAAGCATTTGTGAAAATGGAAACTCAGGAAGAAATTGTCAACATTTTTTTTTAATATTTCCACGTTTGATGTTCATTAAATATAGTGTTTTCGGCCTTCTTGGGTAAACAAATAATCTACAAATTATTATAGTATAGTATAGTATACTAATGCAGTTGTAACGAGATAAAAACGCCAGAAATCCTACAGTGAGCGTCAATATAAAGTTAACATCTATAGGTATCAATAACAATTTTTCCTTTTTTTTTTTGTGAAATTAATATTCTGTTGAACGTCCGCTATTTTTTACAACTTTGGTCAATCTTCTCATAGATTTGACCAATGAAGATGTATAATTTGCTGGAATTTGATTCCATTCTTCTAAAGAGACTTTCTTGAGAGTTTCTTTTGACATTATCTCTCTTTTTCGTATTTTTCTATCCAGATAATTCCATAGATTTTCTTTGGGATTAAGGTCTGGGGATTGCGGTGGATGTTTTAATTGTTTTGGTGTCCTGTAAAGAAGCCATTCCTTTGCCATGCGTGATGTATGCTTCGGATCGTTGTCACTTTGAAATGTCCATGTTCTTGATAAATTCAATTTCGTAATGGAAGGCTCTAAGTTTCTCCACAATATTTCAATGTAATCCTCCTTTTTCATTGTATCTTCAATGAATACAAGATTTCCAACTCCGGAAGCAGCCATACACCTCCAGACCATCACAGATCCCCTTCCAGGTTTGACTGTATAGACTAAGTTCTGTTCCTTCAAAGCACTATTTTTACTTCTCCATACTTTCTGTGGTTTTGTGTCTTGATAGATTTCGAATTTGCTCTCATAAGTGAAGAGAACATCGTTCCAGAAAGATTCATTATATTTGAAATGGTCTTTAGCATACTGTAACCGTTTCTTCCGATTCACTTCAGAAATCATTGGCTTCTTCCTCGGAACTCTTCCAAATAACCCAGCTCTATTCAGTCTTCTATGGATTGTATTGCACTAATCGTTTCTTTCTTTAAATTACTCTTCTGCTATTTTTACAGCGCTCGAAAAAGGATTTTGTGTTACTTTTCTGCAAATTTGCCTCACATCACTCTCATTGAGTTTTTTTGGTTGCTGTTTGTGATCAATATTACTTAATAATCCGAGATTATTATATTTGTCAATGATCTTTTTCACAGTCACATGGCTTCTTTGCACAACTTTAGCAATTTCTCTTATGGACTGTCTATTTAAATGCATTTCGATTATTATTTGACGCTCTTCGACAGTTTGTTCACCCATTTCGAGATTACACAAATACTATCTCCTTCTTTTGTTTTGCCGTGGAAACACAACACGGGGATTTCCCAAGATCATATTACTAAACAGTGATACCAACATAACCAGAAATTATTGCAATAGTTATAACTATTTACATAAAAGTAGGGGTGTTAACTTTATATTGACTCAAGGAAAAAGGACTTACATTATATGTTTGCTTATTATTACATTATTACTAAAAAAATACGTTTTTTATAGAAGATAAATTGAGCTTTCAGTACCATACACCTTTTTCCTATTTTCTTTCATATCTTTTAAATTATTTCAAAGAGAAGTTGAAAATTTCAAGTGTTAATTTTATATTGACGCTAATTGTATATAATTTCGCTTACCTACATGCGTTCATGTACCATAGAAAGATGACTTGATGGCAAGATGCGCTGATTGGCCGTAGCGTACTAGCGACGTCTATTGGCTGACAAGGGATTTTGGAAACCCGAAAATTCCAAAAATTATGAAACTTTGTGTACAGATAGAGTAGGTCATCCATAACACACACCTATCTTTCGTTCGTGCCATAATTCACTTTTAAGGGATGAAATCATCCCTTAAAGAAAATGCAAAATTATCTTTTTTGTTGAATATTTCGTGAATGAATTGAAAAAAAGTTTAAACAAAGGTTGCATACTATTTCTATGTTTACACAAATACGTAAAGTAATTTTTAAAAAAATCTGAATATCTGAAAATTTGAATTACCCCCTTCACCATTCCTTAAAATTCATTTTTTGATTTTTAAAATGTTATGCAAAAATACTTTACGGTACCCTCTATTCATCCATGTAAATAGTTTTGTTAAGAATAGTCGTGTTTCGTTAATTATAAAATACAATGTAAAGCAGTATGCGCACTCGTCTCCTGCGCATACAGCTCGGATACATACTGGGTGTGTGAGTGGGAGACCGAGGAATCCCCGAGTGAAGCGCGCATTCGAAAAGACGGAGTAGAAGAAACGTGATATAAGAAGTTACTTCGTAGAGCCGTTAAAATGTAAAGCGTTTATGAATATCAATATACATAAATATAATATTTAAACAACAGAGAACATTAATTTAATTATCCACGAATCTTAACAAGTTTATTTTATATATATTTTCTTTATAAATAAATAAAAAAAATAAAATAAATAAATAATAAAAGCGTCTATTATCGAATTTAAAGTCTGTTCTAACAGTTTTTATTATTGAAGTGGTTTCATAATACATAACTCACATTATCATTTATATAAATTTCAGGCTGTAACATAAAATTCGTTAAAATTCACGTGTACGATTCGTAATGGCAGCATATACATACAAACATGAGTATTGCTTAAAGTGGTATCTTATCAGACTGTTTTTTTCTCAACATACGATACATTAGAATTTGCATGAATATTTAAAAGAACTTATAAGATATTTTGAGAATATGTGTTTTCACAAAAAATAATTGTAATTGACTCCTACAACCAAAAATAATTTTTTCAACACGATTTTAAATTTTTTAATTTCGCCAAAAAATTTCTGCACCCTACAGCCTGTCGATTTTTATTAAAAATTTGTTTTTCATTTTTAAAAAAGTTTGACGCTCTACGGAAATGTTGTTTAATACTTTTTTGTAGGTATCCATAAGCTCTACTACATAAATAAATTTAAATGAAATACGTTCACATACATTAAGAAGAGGTGGAGAGGGTAATTCAGAAAGTATCGGTTTTTTTAGGGGTGATTTCATCCCTTAAAAGGGAATTATGGCACGAACGAAAAATAGGTGTGTGTTATGGATGACCTACTCTGCCCGTACACAAAGTTTCATAATTTTTTGAATCTTCGGGTTCCCAAGCTTCCCTTGTGAGTCGATCACAATTACAATTCCGTCGCGTGACGAAGGACGCGAACGAAACGTATCAAGACAGAGTAGGATAGGACCATATTGGACGACATTAGTGTAGCCATAAGCTCAGAGTATTAGCCATGAATAGAAGAAAAATGTATCTCTCGTGGATATGGAGATCCTACTACATACTATGTAGCGTAACGTAAGAGCGAGGTTTTCTGGTAGATGGCGCGACGACCTACTCCCCTTGCCCTTGCGTTGCTCAGTTTGCTGGTGTCTAGCCAACAAGCCATCTCTTTATGGTACAAGAGATACAAACACGTGTATTGAATTGAAGGAATATTCCTAATATTAAAGCACATTTTGTAATTACGAATTACTAATACTTTCCACACGTATTTGGTCACGTTTATGGATACTCCAATTAAATTTGTATACTATTATCTATATTATTATTTACACAATTGCAAGTAGCCCGCGGTATGGTATTTTAAATAGTTGCTACAATATTTAACAAAATATTAATAAAGTATAGGTTCATAAAAAGACGAGTCAATAATTTTATTTTTTGTAAATATGCAAACAATTTTTATAGTTTCCTTTTCATTATTTTAATACAGATTTCACATTTTTATTTTTTCTTGGTTTTACTAGTTGGATATCTAAACTATCTATCCCTTTTGTCGTTTTTTTATTTTACGGTGAAACAACCAGGAAACTTTTATAGCTCGACAAACTTGTAACAAATTGAAAGCTCGATTACGCGATAGTAAGGGTCGATTAGATACCAGAAAAGGCGGAATACTCACTGCCTTCTTCCTGGTTCTCCGGTGGTGGTATCAAAGAATCGAAGCTTACGTTCTCGTGGAACTCAACGCCCAGGATCAAAGCGACTTTTAATAAAATACACTGTAACTGCCGGATGCTGATATGATCGATAGAACCAGCGCAGAATTTCCCGAAGAATTTCTTCGCCCCCAGTCCTCGGAGGTCTTGAATAACGAACGGCCAAAGATGGAGAACATTGTTTCTGGACATTCGATCTCTTTTCTCTACGACAACAACTTTCGCTCCTAATAATTGCGCTTCTATCGCTGAACGAAGCCCGCAAGGACCACCTCCGATAATTAAAACCTGAAACAATATTTTAAAGGGAGACTAGAAACCCGTCAAAACTAAAAATGGCGTCAATTAGTCCTGTGTCTATCAAGCATTCCAGCGTATAAAAGTCGCACAAAATGTTAACGGATGTTCGACATAAGCGCCCTCTGTGAATCAATACCTATATTTTAGTTAAATTATAGGTTAGTTTATTCTGAACGACGACACACGGATCGTTGTATTATTAATAATATATAATATATAAAACCTGAAACATAAAACCTGAATAATAAATTTTAATAACTTTAACACGCTCGTCGAGCGTATATGACTCCATCGTTAAAATTGTCTATGTATTGTAGGTTAGAAATAAGAGAAAGTAACAAGAAACAAAGATGGCGTTTAACAGATATTCTCATTCAACATCCTAATAGTACTTTTGGACAACCCTGTATTTGAAACAGTGCAAAGAACAGTGTAAAAGAAATTATCTTATTAATTTTATACCTCATCTCTGTTTGAGGTTATATAGGTATGCTTTGTATTGTAGGTTAGAAATAAAAGAAAGTGACAAAAAACAAAGATGGCGTTTAACAGATATTCTCATTCAACATTCTAACGATACTTTTGGACAACCCTGTATTTGAAACAGATAGTGTAAAAGTCTTGACTGATATGTATTTGATTTGTATAAAATAAATTATCTTATCGATTCTATGCCACATCTCTGTATAAGGTTATGAAAGGTGGTCCAACGAAGTATTTAACATTTACAATTTTTGTGTAACCTTTTCATTCTAAACTCTTTATTTTTCAGGAACTGAGCAAAGATACTTGTCAAAACTTACCTGGAATAGAGATTAAGAATCACGTGCAAAGAAAAAAAGAGAAAATTGCAATTTCAGAACAATGTGTTATATTTGTTCCAGTGTACGTACGCTTGATTGAAATTGATTTTAAAATCGCTGGTACTCACCCTTGTGTTGGGGCATGCTTTTCCGCGGTTGTAACACTTGTGATTGGCCCTCTGATCGAACTTTTTCCAGAGAGCCTGGGCTTTCCACGACCGCAGCTTCCCTTTCAATTTTGGATAGAATTGACTGATCGCGTTCGGTCGGATCTTTAGCAGCTCGCAGAGATGCCTGAAGTGTCCAAGAATGGACTTGAGCGTGGTTGCGTTGCAGAATTGGTCGAACACGTCGTTGGCGATCGCCACTTCCGGCGAGGTCGCCGCCTGCTTCCGACCGGGCTGCTGATGATCCATGTTCCTGATCCTGCGTACCCAATAAGCCCATATAAATACGATTGTTTCGGTCAAACATTTAGAAAAAACATTACTTTATAATTTGTGTTACATCACAAAATATCTTTACACTTTTTTAATGAATTTAAACATTTTAAACAAAAAATAGCTTTTCTACATTCTTTATATTCACGCGTGGTCTAAATGAAGTAAACATATTAACATATTAACAGCTATAACAACCCATCAAATGTTCCTTAGAACAAATAGGGTTATAAAAAAGAATTTTAATGCATTTGCAATGTACCAATTGGTTCATTTTTTTTTTTTTTAACGACGGCAATAATTTACAATGAACAATAAACGCTGCCGTGAAATGGAATTTTATCCAGGTGTCATTCATTTGTGCAGATGGCCGCTTGTTTCTATTGGATTTAAGCGTAAATGGGATTACGCGATACTCGATAAGTGAAAAATCAAACGGTATTTCGCGATGCTCCCCAACGAGGCACATGAGATTGCAAAACTGCATACGACCTATTGATTTTTCATTATCTAAGATAGAGTCAGCCGGTGAACGCTTAGAAACGAGCCTGCAAATAACTACACTGCTGGCCAATATTATATAAGTTCGCTCCATTTTTGGCTATTTCTTGTTATGGTTAGAGCTGTTGCTTTTTTCTTTTGGAGAATTGTTAGACAAAATTTGGCAATATTTATGTACAAAATGAATTGTTACCCTTTTTACGCGAAATGCTGTTTGCAGGACAAAAGTATAAGTTCAGTTATAAATAACCGTTTATTTATAAACTGATTACAATGAAAATTGTTCTTAATAATCAGTAGTTAATCCATGACAGTGAATTACTTGAAAAATTTTCGATTTCATGCCGATTACAAAGATTTTCTATCAAGTCCTGATCAATTTCTGCAGCGATAACAATTGCTGCTTTTAATTCCTGGATTGTAGAAATATTTTGTATTATTTCGATCAATTTGTCTAACGAGTATTCCCCATACATTTTCCATAAAATTGATATCTGGAGTACACAAAAGCTGGCCATATGAAAATTTGAAATAGTATGGTGCGCTTAGCTAAACGGAGAAATGATAAGCGAGATAGCAGATAATGGACTCATCAGGCATAAAGCATCCTAGCAGCGTATACAGGGTGTTCGGCCATCCCTGGGAAAAAATTTTAATGGGGGATTCTAGAGGCCAAAATAAGACGAAAATCAAGAATATCAATTTCTTGATGGTGGCTTCGTTAAAAAGTTATTAACATTCAAAAATTCAAAAATTTCATATCGTTTTGGAAAAATTATTTTCGGTTGCAGAGGTCAGTTACAATCATTTTTGGTTATTAGACATACCCTCGAAATCCTACCCACTTTCGAGAAAAAAATTTGAGAAGGTATGAAATTTTTTGACACAATTAAAAAGTTTTGAAGAATTTTGACACAATTGAAGAATATGTAGAAATTCCAAGAATGTTCGAAAAGTTGTTCCTTAACCCCGATAAGTGAGGAGAACCTTATAAAAATGGTCCAATTTTCAAACAGTTATAACTCTTACAATAGTGAATATATTTAAGTGGAACTTTTTTCTGGGGTAGAGCTCATGGGTACCTGCAAAAAAGTATTAGACAAGTTTTCTGTAGGACGTCAAACAAAATTATTAAAAATAAAATGTATTTTTAAGAAAAATCGACAGAGGCGAAGAAATTTTTCGGCGAAATTGAAAAGTATCAAATCATTCTGGAAAAATTATTTTCGGTTACAGGGGTCAATTACAAGCATTTTTAGTCATTAGACATTCCCTCGAATTCCTACCCACTTTCGAGAAAAAAATTCAGTACAAGCAGAACTGTAAACGTTAATAACTTCTTAACAAAGCCTCCATCAACAAATTGGTATTCTTGATTTTCGTCTTATTTTGGCCTCTAGAATCCCTCATTAAAATTTTTCCCAAGGTTTGCCGAACACCTTGTATAAAGGAACGGAAGGATTAGTCGAGCGCTTGCGAGAGACCGGTCCCTCTGGTGGCGAGTACAGGAAGTGTCGCCACAATAATGGCTTCTAGCCATGCTTAACCTCTTCACGCCCTTGGCCACATATGTGGACGTTTAGTTTTTATAATTATGGTTACTGTCAATAATAAATATACCAAAATTTTCACTACAAATTATAAAAAAAAAAATCGTCGCTGAAGAGGTTAAAGACTGGCACTACGATGGATGGGGCATTGTCCTGTTGAAATTTGAGTGTTATTGTATTATGTTCTTCAATATACAGGAGCAAATATCTATGCTTCTAAACTCTGACTTTTTCACTATTAATTTTTGCAGTGAGAAAAGCAATTGGGAGGTTTTCTAATGTACCAAAAGCTTTCCACATCATTAACACTGCCTTCGCTAAAATTACTTGCCGCAAAAAATCTTTTTTTCTTTTCGAATGTCATGCCAATATAAATGCAGACTATCTGATCTGTCTGAATTAAATTTTTTTTCGTTGCTCCAGAAGATATAAAAAATCGTAAATACAAATTGAAATTTAAGGAAGAGGTAGGGAACAAATCACATGCAGATGCAATAAAAATTTATTCTTGAATTTTATGTATTTCATCATCATTTCATGATTCATCGAGTCATAATGAATCATAATTAGTTTATAAATACATGTTTTTTTATAATTGAACTTATATTTTTGCCCATCCTGTAAACAATATTTTTCTCACAATAGTTAACAAGTCATTGTTTATGTAAATATTGCAAAATTTGTTTTCATAGATTTATCTTTCGTGTATTTTTACCTAATACTACACAAAAAAAACAAGAGTTCTATAGCAGTATGGCAGCTCTGGCCACTCTGTCAACAACGCATTGTTTAGGTTTTGTTTCTAATGTTGAAAAGAAAAGCACAACTTAAAACGGATTCAAACACCTAGGCCCTACAATAACGTATTTACAGCGCCATCTGGTGGGTCAGAAAAGTGTCTAAGCGAAGAGCAACAAAATCATTATGCATTACGTAGTCGAAGTATCTCTAGATAGTCAGTCATGTGTAAATTGGAAACCGAGGGGAAAGAATATATCGCGATTAATAATACAGTTAGTGTGTGATTACTAAACCCACAGTTTTAACTATCACGACAAACAAGACAAACGTGAAGTGAACTTATAATATTGGCCAGCAGTGTATTTCTCGTTCCAGCGTAGCCAACAACGATTTTCAGGGAACAAGAATCACGAAGCAGCGAAGATAGCCTGTACCCTGTGTAATGCTTCTTTAAACCGTCGTAAGCGAAAAGAATGTCATATTTAATGCTTGATTAGATATATAGGTTAACTCTGAAGAACTGTACAATGCGACATACTGGACAGACTGTTCCAAGTGCACAGTGTGGCACAAAATGATAAGGCTCCAGTAATATTTTTCTTTGCATTTAGATATCTATGTAAAAAGGTACACTCCCGACCATAAGTCACCGGACACTTAACGAACGTAGATTAAAAACGAATTAATACTGTAAAGCGATGCAAGTTTTAAAATGAAACTAACACTTATTTATTCGTTACGTTATGAAGGAAACGTAATTCGTGTTGCATGGCATGGATTTTAACATGTTAGCGAACAATTTAAAATTTTCGTTTTATGAGTGTACGAGCCTCGTTTGAAAATAATCGTTCAAATTAATGGTGGAATTTTATTAACAATTAATTTTTAGTATTTGTTTCATTAATACCAACCCTTCTGTAATTTTGTCTACGAGAGTCCTTCTTCAATTTTAAACACGTTTATCTTCAAAATTTGCTTCCTCGTACAATTTGACTTATTGCATATTTATTTTAATTTCCCGTTAGTACCAAGAACGGCCACTGAGAATTTTCCAGTAACAGGTTATCATCTCGACTTCCACCCCATTATCCAAAGATGAAACAACTGAGATAAATTGGACGTTATATTTCTTTTGTTCTCTTACCACGTCTACATGAACCATATCTATCAAAAGTAATAACTTAAAGTGACTAAATGTATGAAAGCGAGATGATATGTCGCTTCGGAAAATTGTGTTTTCTTAATTTGCATTTTCCAAGACGGACGAGCAAAATGTTCGGTGACTTATGGACGGTACAAGGTGCGATCAAAAAGTTCACGGTCTTCTACGACAGATGGCGTTAGAGATGACGTAAACATACGGGCTTGTAAAGACAATCTCTCGCGTAGTAGTGCATTCTCTGAAGAAAAATAATTCTCGACGATTGTTGGATGCGCGAATTGCGTTCTTGTCTTATTCTATTCAAGTGTTGATTGACAAATTGTGGTCGTATTTTCGTTCGTTAAATTTGCCGTGAGTGTGCATTTGTACCGTTGAAAAAGGTGAGAGTGATAGCCTATAATTCGGGGTGAGGGCCGCCATTATGGCAGTTGGCAGCACCCAAATGGTGATAGAAGCTTTTGACTCCAAATTAAAGAGGAAATTAGATACTGTCTCAGCGAATGTTGACAACACCGTTAACTCCTCTAAAAAAAAAACCCAACCAAACGAACATCGTCAGAAAACCTAACCTCAACATCAAAAACTACCATCCAAACCCGATCCTGTTGGCCAAATTGCTCAAAGAGCATAATACAGACTTGACCTCGACGTACAGGATCTAATAGATCTCTCTGACTCCTCATGCTCAATAAAATATGCAAGTCGGCTAAACAAAGAGACGTAACGAGACCACAGGGCTGCTGGAATGGTTGTCCAGTGAAACAGTGGTATTGACATTCAATGGCACAACACTACCCCCGATGTTAAAGGTCTTCTTCTTTAAAAACATCAAAGTCGATGTTTCCATCGAACCAGTGAAAGCCTGCTTTAACTGCCTAACATACGGGTACACTGCAAAACTCTGTAGAGGACAAGACAGATGTCGCTGCTGTGGCCAATTGGACCACAACAGAGAAAATTGCCCTCACAAGAATTCTCCCATCTGGCTCACAATTCAAAGAGAATCATGTCGCTCTGAGCTACTCATTAATATAATTGTTAACACTTTGACGGCCGCTGTCACGTATACGTGACTTTGCGAGACAGCAGACGTCGGCCACTGTCACGTGCGCGTGATCTACTGTATCGGTTACCATTCCATCATACATTCAACTTATTACGTTTGTTGAGGTTACATTTCTAATTCCTTATAATAATACTGCGCGTTTTCGCGCGATACGTGCGGCCATTAAAGTGTTAACTGGCGACCAAATTCTCAGGGGCCGCTAGAAAGCATCGTTGAGCAGCGACGTTCAGCAGCCACTCACCTGTGGCAGCACCGTCGATCACCTGAACTCTTGCCAGTTCTCGTTGGACCCGGTATAGTGTGCATAGAAAATGATACGTTGGGTCTACGAAATGTATTTTACAAGCACAGTCGCGACGTCGCAAGCACGAACGTTGTTTCTTGCAGCGCTTTTGCCCGATAATGGATTCGATGCGTGCAGTTTTATCTCAAGGAGGAAACCGAGGCGAGAGTAAATGCTAATTTCTCTTCGTACCGTGCAATGATTTGTTATGCACGATCACGTCCTCGCGCGCTAGCGCAATATCATGCGACAAACACGTCGATATATACCCTCTATGCTCTTATACACGGTTCTTTGAACTTACGACCTGATAACTGCGCTCCTCTTGCGGATGTTCTCTAGGTGCCGTCAACGCCATTACCCCGGGAAAACGGAAGTACGGAAACATTCTCCGATAGACGACCTACGAAGATCAAAGTACTTGCAACCTCGCCGCGGTATCGGTTTTTACAGCGACGTGCTTTTTTTATCGTGCTCGTCGACGGTGAAAATAATTATTATTATCAACGATTTATTTTTATATCATCACTTCTTCCGGGTAAGATATGATTAACTTTTAATCATTTATAAGTTTAGCTTTCTTTTGTTTTATTAAATTCTGTCTTTCTCTTGTGTTGACGAGCTCACATTTATTTGAATTTGCCGCTGCAATATGGAGGCGTGGAAATGACGTCTGTTTGTGAATATTATTACTATTATCATCGATTTATTTTTATACCGGCGATCTTTCCGGGAAATATACAGGGTGTTCGGCCATTCCTGGGAAAAATTTTCTAATCTAGAATATTAATTTCTTGATGGAGGCTTTGTTAAAAAGTTATTAAAAAATTAAATTAAAAGATTCGAAATTATTCTGAAAAAATTATTTTTGGTTGCAAAGGTCAATTACAATTATTTTTGGAGAATACACATACCCCTGAAATCCTACACCTTTTCGAGAAAAAAATTCGAGTAAGCACTGAAATTTTTAGATGCAATTAAAAAATTTCAAATCGTACTAAAAAAATTATATTTAATTACAGGTGTCAGTTACAAGCATTCTTGGTGAATAGACATACACTCAAAATCCTACGCACTTTCGAAAAAAAAATTCGAATAGGTGGACAAATTTTTGGAAAAATGAAAAAGTTTCCAATCATTTTGGAAAAATTATTTTCGGTTGTGGAAGTCAAATACAATCATTTTTGGTCATTAGACATACCCTCGAAATCCTACCCACTTTGGAGAAATAATTTGAGAAAGTATGAAATTTTTCGACAAAATTAAAAAATTTCAAATCGTGCTGGAAAAATTATTTTCGGTTGCGGGGATCAATTACAATAATTTTTGGTGAATAGACCTACCACCGAAATCCTACCCACTTTCTAGAAAAAAATTCAGTACAGGCGGAACTTTAAATGTTAATAACTTTTTAACGAAGCCTCCATCAACAAATTAGTATTCTCTAGAATCTTTCATTAAAATTTTTTCCAGGGGTGGTCGATCACCCTGTATAATTAACTATTATAATTTATAAGTTTAGTTTTCTTTTATTTTATTAAATTCTGTCTTTCACTTGCATTCACGAGTTCAAATTTATTTGAATTTGCCGCTGCAATATGGAGGCTGTGGAAATGACTGTTTGTAAATATTATTACTATTATCATCGATTCATTTTTATACCCGCGCTTTTTCCGGGTAAAATATAATTAACTATTATAATTTATGACTTTAATTTTCTTTTATTTTATTAAATTCTGTCTTTTCCTTGCGTTGACGAGCTCACATTTATTTGAATTTGCCGCGGCAAAATGGAGGTTGTGGAAGTGACCTCTGTTTGAATGCGGTGTATTCATGTACTATTCCTAACCCTACGCGCGTACTTCCGTTGCCTATATATTACATATCACGTGTACAAGTTTTGTTATAAAAGGTTTCTTTGAAGTATTGAATAAGTCTTTATCTTTTACAATCCTTTTAAATGTATATCTAATCCTAATGGATTGAAGCTCCACTGGAATCAGGTTGAAACGTAACGTAAAAATCAAGACAGATGAATATTGCATCACATAACCGTTATGAAAGTAACCAAAATATTCAGGATCGTTCAATTAACCGGTATACCTGGTTACCCGAAGTGTTTCGTTCAAATAAGTTGGGGAACATTCCAAGCAAACGATTCGTCCAATTCAGTAAATTATTAATATGCATTTCATTATTTGCGGAAATTCGTTATTTTAGTTTAAACTTCTCATAATGTTGCAGTAAAAACGTAAGGTTAAGTATATTTTGCAGGTTCACAGGTAGAAACAAATGACTGTCGTTAGTGTGTTCATGGTATAAATTATAAATGCCAAAAATGATTGTAATTGACCCTTGAAACCGAAAATAATTTTTTTCTAGAAAATGCACAAGATATCGGTGATATGTGTAATGACCAAAAATGATTGTAATCAACTCCAGCAACCAAAAATAATTTTTTTAGAACGATTTGAAATTTTTTAATTTTGTTGAAAAATTTCACACCTCGAATTTTTTACTAGAAAGTGAGTAGGATTTCAGGGATATGTCTAATGACCAAAAATGATTGTAATTGACCCCCGCAACCAAAAATAATTTTTTCAGAATGATTTGAAATTTTTTAATTTAATTTTTAATAACTTTTTAACGAAGCCTCCATCAATAAATTAATATTCTAGATTTTCGTTTTATTTTGGCCTCTAGAATCCCCCATTAAAATTTTTCCCAGCGATGGCCGAACACCCTGTATAAAATAATAATTTGCTTCAAAATTTTTCTTAAATTGAAAAATAATAGAATTATCACATTGTAAGCCACTGAAGTTTATTCCATTGAAAACTATTTTTTTAAAAATAATATTTTACGTTTATTTGTAACAGTTTTCATTTATATAAAGTGGCCAACAATACTTTTTTGTATTTTAACATTCTCAAAAAAAAATAATTTAAT